AGGCAGGGACATCTGGGAGAGTCCAGTGTGGACATGACTGACTGAGCGGGGCCGTGTGAGGAAGAATGGGGGAGGGGGAGGGGAGACAGGAACCAGGAGCAGCAGCAGCAGGCCAGAGGACCAAAATAGGGCTGGTAACCAAAATGTCTGGATTATACAGGGAAAAGCCTCTGAGGGAAGGAAGGGTGGAAAGTTCAGGGTAGGAGATGGGGTATGGGAGCTGTATCCTGGGAGAATGTGGCAGCCAGGTCTGTTTTGATAAGTTAAATAGACACCTCAGCCATCTGTCCTGGGTCTGAAACTTAACATTGTCAAATTACTGGAAGATGGCAACTCTGGCCCAAAGCACTTAACTTTCTTACTTTTTTACATTTTATTCACGTGTTTTTGTGGGGGGGGGGGGAGAGGAAACCCATGCCTCAGCACACATGTGGAGGCCAGAGGAAAACTTACAAGGAATCTGTTGTCTCCTTCGACCATGTGGGTACCAGGGATGGAACTCAGGCCATCAGGTTTGGGGACTCAGCTTTATCTGACGAGTCTGCTTTACCGTCCTATTTTCAAGTATTCTCCTGCAGAAGACTTTAAAGGTTTTCAAGGCCAGAAAGAGAGAGGCGGGGCATAGTGACCTTTGATCCCAGCACTGAAGTCACTGGGGCAGGTGGATTGAGAGTTCAAGCCAGCCTGGGATACACAGGGAGATAAATAATTAGACAATGAAGACAGACGCACCCACCGCCTGGAAATCACATCACACAACTGGCTCACAATATGTTTTCTCATCACCACTCCAACTTCCTGACTAGAGAGCAGGCATTATAGTCCCTAATCTTGCCAACCTGATGAGGCTAGTTTTATTGGGTTTACTTACAGGAATGTGGGTGAAAGGTTACTTCCAGGTGCAGAAATGACTGACAGCTGCATCGCTAAAATCCTTCTTCGGCATGGGGACAGGTCAACAACGTTGGAAGCCTGGAACACACAGCACGGCATTCTGTCCTTCCGAGGCAATTGAGTCGGGTGAGCTTCTTTCTGGCAGGTCAGCTGATCACTTTTAGGCAGATCTCTTATTTAAGAGCCCTCGCTACTTATATATGCTTGTGGAAGGAGGGAACTGAAGTCCTCTCCCTGGCCCCCACCAGACAGGGTTTCTTTGTGTCACCCTGGATGTCCTAGCACTCACTCTGTAGACCAGGCTGGCCTTGAACTCACAGAGATCCCCCTGCCTCTGCCTCCCTTGTGCTGGGATTAAAGGTGTGGGAAAGCAGTAAGTTCTTTTAACCATTGACTCCTTTGACTCTCCAGCACCCTTGTTGAAGTTTTAAATGCAATTTTTTGTTAGGTGATCATGTGTGTGAGCTTGCACATGCACACGCAAGTGCACATGCATGAGTGTGTGTTTTGGAATTGAACCCAGGGCCCGAGGAATGCTAGCCAATCGCTCTGTCACTGAGCTACATCCTCAGCACAAACTCTCGCAAATCAATTAAAATTGTTTCTGAGCTGGGCGTTGGTGGCTCACACCTTTAATGCCAGCACTTGGGAGGCAGAGGCAGGCAGATGTCTGAGTTCCAGGCCAGCCTGGTCTACAAAGCTAAACAGAAACCCTGTCTCGAAAAACAAAAACAAAAAAATCCTTTCGGAGGATACAGGGAAAGGCCTACTTCAAATGGGATTTCTCCAGATAAACTCTTCGAACACTAGATGTACACACCAGGCAAGAAATTAATTTTGCAGTGGATCACAGCAGGTTGTCCACAAATGCAATTCAATCTACTTGTAGTTCTTGGTCTTCAGGACAATCCTCTTTCTCTTTTGATAACATGCACAAGCTCCAGGCTTTATCTTCTCACCGCTTCCCTTTTTGGGCACCATAGAGTTGCTAAGAACCCAGGGAAATGCTAACTTAACACTTATGAATTCATCTCAAAGGATATAGATAAGGGGCAGAGGGCGGGGCTTATAGGGAGTGGTGGGGATACTCTATGCCCTCTCCAGGCACAGCAGTTTCCAGGAACCTTTCTGTGTTTGGCTTTAGGAAGCTTCTGGAACTCTGTCCTTTTGTATTTTTTGTATTGGAGATGTCCTCCAATACAAACACAATTAAATCAGAACCCTGAGGATTTGATTGGATGAAAAGAGTGAGACCTGAAGTTATCAGCTGGGTGGGGACATCCAGCAAAGCCTGTCTGTGCACTTTTCTCATCCCAGATACCAGGCAGGGCCCCTCTGGTTGGTGAGGCCAGAGATTTTTTTTCTTGACACCAGATTTTGATTTTGATTTTGTTTTGTTTTTAATATTTTATAAATAGTTCTTACTTATTTTCTATGAAATGTACTGGGAACTCAAAAAGTCTGCTAAACCCACCAACATGAGTTTCCACAGAGAATTCTTTTATGATCAGCTCCTAGATAGAAGGCAGGAAAGATCAGAATTTCTGTGGCTTCAGGTGAGAGGGCAAGGTAGGAGGCTCAGTAGCCCAAGGTCACCCTCAGCAAATTCAAGATCAACCTGGGCTGCCTTGATTTACTCTTTTTGCTTGTTTTTCAAGACAGGGTTTCTGTGTAGGTTTGGAGGTTGTCCTGGAACTCTTTTTGAAGACCAGGCTGGCCTTGAACTCACAGAGATCTGCCTGCCTCTGCCTCCCGAGTGCTGGGCATGAGCCACCACCACCCGGCCAAACTGTCTATGATCTACCCTAAGAGAGATTCTAGTTTCTTCTGCCTTCCTTAGGAAGGGATAGGTTGGGTGGGTATGGGGCATTAGACTGCAATCCCTCCCACCACTCAGGATGCTGAAACAGAGTCACAAGTTCCAAGCCAGGCTGGGTTATAGGCATCATCAGAAATATGGATTTAAAACAAATCTTCTGAGTTGGGCAGTGGTGGCGCATGCCTTTAATCCCAGCACTCAGGAGGCAGAGGCAGGTGAATCTCTGTGAGTTTGAGGCTAGTCGGGTCTACAGAGTGAGTTCCAGGCTGTTATACAGGGAAAGCCTGTCTCAAAAAACCAAAATCAAAACATTGATAATTATGATATGCTTTGAATTGAGGAGAAAATGAGTGACGTGATAGACTGTCACAATTTTTCCACCTTACAACTCCACAGTGATCTGTGGTTGTCCTATAGAAACGCCACCAAACAGCACTTAATCCATGCTTATAGGACCAGGGCTTGAAGTAGGACTTTGTGCATAGTGGGAGACTCCTCTACCACTTAGCTCACACCTCTGCTCTTTTTTACTTTGAGACAGGGTCCAGTAAATTGCCCAGCTAGCCTCAAACTTGGGACCCTTCTGCCCAAGGCTCCTTAATTCCTGTGATTACAGGCATGTGTAACCATGTCAGGCTGTCCTATTTGTTTCAGCCTAATTTCAAAGATGTTTAAGTGCTCACCTAGGTTCTCCGTGCTAAGCTGGGGAGACCACTGGAGATCGTAGAAGAAAAGAGTCTCACTTCCAGATCAGCTAAATTACAGGCCCATACATTATGCCCAGAAATACTTGTTCCGTTACCCGATCCTCTGAGATTTGGTGTGGGTTTATTGTTGTGTGACAGGGCCTACAAGTCTGAAGTACCCCAGGATAGCCTTGAACTTGCTATATAGACAAAGATAACCTTGAACTTGTGATAGCGGTGCCCTTCCATCTCTCTCTGCAGAGGTGGAATCACCAGCTTGTGTGGTGCTATGGATGGAACTCAGGCTTCATGCATGTTAAGTCAAGCTCAGCCCTAGTCCATCCTGCTCAGTCCTGCTCCCCTTGCCATGAGGCAAAGTCTCTCATGCTAGCCTGGGCTACATAGTATGACCACCGTCCTTCCTTCTCTTCCCTAGTGGGCACTGGGGATAGGATCCAAGGCTTTGTGCATGAACAGTCTATCAACAAGCTGCACCCCAAATATACCTTCCAAGCTGTGGTCCTGAAGACCTAGCATAGCACATGAAGTGATTGAGTAGGGAGGTCGCCAACTATATAAGGAGATACCTATCAGAGGCCAGCACCGGGGGCGCCATAGGCCCCAAACCCCAGAAAATGTGGACTATGGACTTTATGTGGGGCATCAGTTTGGCCCTACGGCCATCTCCCAGAAATTTGTTGGGTTTCTGGGGTGCGGTTAATGAGACAGGACACTGCTCTTTGTAGAGGTGGAGAGCCGGCCACTCGGATCCCTTTTTTTTTTTTTTTTTTTTTTTTTTTTTTTTTGGTTTTTTCGAGACAGGGTTTCTCTGTGGCATTGGAGGCTGTCCTGGAACTAGCTCTTGTAGACCAGGCTGGTCTCGAACTCACAGAGAAACGCCTGCCTTTGCCTCTGGAGTGCTGGGATTAAAGGCGTGCGCCACCACCGACCCGCCCGGATCCTAATCAGAGAGCAAGGAGGAGGAATGGTGCCTTTCAAAGGGAAACTTGGATCTGTAACTCCAGCAGTACTATGATGGGGTACTGCCCCCTCCCCAGAGGCCGAGTGCACCCCAGCCCGCCCGAGTGTCACTCCCTAGAAAAGAAAATGATCAAGCTTCCGGGAAGTCTCTCTTCCTAGCTAGAAGCCCGACCCTAACCTCAGGAGTCCCTTTGGTTCTGTCAGTAGTCACATCCCTGTCCTAAGGCACCTCTGTCTCTGTCTCTGTCTCTGTCTGTCTGTCTCTCTCTACATAACAGGTTTTCTCTACATAACAAAGCTCTAGCTGTCCTGGAATTTACTATGCAGACAAGGCTGGTCTCGAACTCGCTTGCCTCTGCCTCGTCTCCGGAGTGCTGGGATTAAAGGGTGAGATGCCCGTAAGAGTGGATGTTCTGGTCACCCAGTCCTAACTTAGCAACTTTGGGCAGCTCTTAGCAGGCTCTTTGCTCCGGGCAAAGGCCCTTAAGCTCTCGGTGTGAGGCCGCGGGCTGCTTCAGGCTCCGGGCGGCGGGGGAGCAGTGCTGGGGGCCGAGCCGCGGTTCCCTTTGCAGCCGGCCACCCTTCCCCCTCCCCGCGGGCTTTT